ACACACAGGTAAAGTGAGAAAGCAAGCCACCAAGTAAGTCCAGGACTTGAGCTGTGGTCAGCCACTTGGGAGTGTCCAGTGCCTTAACCACCATGCCACCTGCTGGTCCTAATTTTACTATTTTTAAAAATAATTATTTTATTTAGCTTTATTTGACTATTTATTTTAATTTAACCAGAGAGGGACAGAGAAAGAGAAAGAGAAAGTAAGAAAGCAAGCTGCCAGGTCCAGGACTCGAACCACAGTCGGCCATGTGGGAGTCCAATGCCCTTAACCACCACACCACCTGCCAGCCCTAATAATTTTAAAATATTTAATTTTATTATTTTAAAATTTGACCAGAGAGGGAGAGAGAGGGAGGCAGGGAAATTAAGAAAGCACGCTGCTAGGTCCAGGACACTAACCCTGTCGGCCACGTGGAAGTCTAGCACCTTAACTACCACACCTCCTGCTGGCCCAACATTTTTCCCTAACGGTCTACTTCAAGAGAGAGAGACCCCCAACAAGGCCATCATGCAGTAATTTGCCCTCAGCCTTAACCGATCTAGATCACAGGTGTGTGTGCATAGGTGTGCATGCGCTCCTCGCATATACAGGAAGACCTCGGGATGTGAACCCAGGACCTTCCCATGTGGCCACAGCATTGTGGAGCATTGTGTTACTGTTGTACCACTACGGATGGCCTAGAACATTTTTTTTTACTCCCCAAACTCCACACTCATTAGCCATCATTCCCCATCTCCCCCCAATTCTAGGAAGCCATTAATCGATCTTGTCACTGTGTATCTGCTATTCTGGACACTTCCTAAAAGTGCAATCACACAGTATGATGTGGTGTAGCTTCCTCCACTTCCTGTCTTCCAGGTTCATCCAAGCTGTGACACGCGTCAGTACATCATTCCTTTTTATTGCCATTGTATGGATATACTGTATTTTATTTATTCATCAGTTGATGAACACGTGGATTGTTTACTTTTTGCAAGTTATTTCTCCATGTTTCAATTTATTAATCTATAAAAATGAAGAGTTAACAGTTGCCTTTTCTGTCTCAAAGGATATACAGAGATATATGAAGAAATACATTCTAAACTGTAAAGCACATGGATGTAAAAACCTTGTAGTATTTCTGAGATCAACTAAGGAGAGCGAGCCCTGTGGTTGTGGCCTGTTGTTGGTGAACTCCAGGCAATAAGGCGAGTGTGTCTTTGGTTTCATCTCTGTGCAGTCGGTGCTGCTTTCTCCTAGGTAATGGACTGCACCTAGCGCTGGCCTAGCAGATAGGCTACATTTGTTGCTAGGAGACCAGGTTAGAGTACGCTTAGCTCAGTGCAATCTACTACTGCTGTAGACAAGCATTCAAGTCACAAAGTGCTGTTTGAACATCACGGCAGTCACATTTTATCCCAATTTTAAGCATGACTGAGGAAAAGCTGAAACTATAAGGTGTTTTTTTTTTTTTTTTGGAGAGGTTTTTTTGCTATAGGGCGCGTGCACTTGCCAGACAGACAGAGAGAGACATAGAGACAGAAAGCGAGAAATCACCCCCCAGGGGGGATGGTCACGCCGCAATCCCTTCTCCTCCATTCTCCTCTCAGGATCTTGGGCACGTACGCACACGCGCCCGGCGCGAGTTTTAAGCCACTGGGTCCGGGACGCGAACCGCGGTCGACTACGTGGGAGTCCAGCGACATAGCCATTACGCTAACTGCTGGTTCCCGAAACTATAAGGTGTTCTTAAGGGCCCACATTCACCACCTTGCCAACTCTTTCTGATTTTAGTCTCTTACACACAGCTCTTTATTATTTTTTTTATAGTTTTTTTTTTTTTTTTCGCTATACTGCTATAGGGAGCATGGGCTCACCAGACAGAGAGAGACAGAAAGACAGAAAGCGAGAAATCCCCCCCCCGGGGGGGGTTGGCCATGCCACAATCCTTCTCCTCCATTCTCCTCTCAGGATCTTGGGCATGCACTTACACGCGCCCGGCGTGAGTTTAAGCCACCGGGTCTGGGACTTGAACCACGGTCGACTACATGAAGTCCAGCGACATAGCCATTACGCTAACTGCTGGTCCTATCACACAGCTCTTTCACACTCTCATTTTCCTGGGTCTTTTTTCCCATCACCTAGCAAATGTGTGTGCTAAGGTAATGTAAAAAAATTGTTTGCTTTCATTAAATTTTTAAAAATAAACTTTAAAACAGCTCTACCTTCTTTCCCCCAGAGCATCTAAAACCAACCAAAATGGGGTATGGCCTGGGGGGCAGAGGGCACTAGGAGTCATAATCCTCTTCACCCTCTGTGTCAGGCGCTAAGGGGCCTGGAGGTGCCGGAGGCCAAGGCAGAGTGGAGGCAAAGGGCATGAACGGTGTCGGAGGGCTCTGAAAATGGGCAGCGGGATGGCTGGCCTGGGGTGAGGGCTGCACGGTCTCCTCTCCCCCATCAGTACCTGTATCCTGACTCATCCTCCTGCTGAGTCTGTCCCCACAGCTTCTTGTCCTTGCCCTTGCTTCCCATCCCACCATTCTTCCGAACCCGCTGCCAGGCTTCCGACCCCTGTGAGCACCCTTGTCCCCATCCATGTGGTTGTCTTTCCCATCTCCCTGCATGTCAGGCACAGATGCCACCAAGTCCTTCAAGAGGTCAAACTGCTGCTCCAACTCAATGTACTGCTTTAGGTGGGATGTGGTTATGGTCTTGGTGTTTCTGGACTGGGTCACCTGGCAGGCCTTCTTCAAAGCTACTCCAAGAAGAGCTCAAGCGCCCGGGAGATAATGACAGGCGCAGCTTCCGCCACCTTCCCAATCTCTTCGACCGACCCTCTGCATGGTCTTGATCCGTGCCAGAGGGAACCGTGCATTGTACTTCTTTGGCGTTTTGGGGCCTCTCTTGCTGCGCCGGGCCCAGTGCTGCTGCTCCCGGCAGCCTCCCGGCCCCTGGGCCTCCAAAATATTTTAATATTAGATTGAGAGAATTAATTAGGAAGGAAACCTGTTCCTGTAAGTACAAGGATTAAAAAATCCACGTGCCCAAGATCCTGAGAGGAGAATGGTGGAGAAGGGCATAGCCACCCCCCTGGGGGATGATTTCTGTCTGTCTCTGTCTTTCTTGGGAGCGTGCACACCCTATAGCACAAACCTCTCAACAAAATCCAATTAAGATACAAGTACTGGGCCCAGCAAATGGTGTGGTGATTAGGGCACAGGACTCCCACATGGTGACTGTGGTTTGAGCCCTGGACTTGGCAGCTTACTTTCTCACTTTCTCTGTGTGTGTCTCTCTGGTGAGTGTGCATGCCCAGTAGCAAACTGAAGAATAATAATAATTATAAATAAAAATTAAATGAAAAAAAAAAAAAAAGAAATACAAGTACTATTTGCTTCTGGTTTTTTTGTAGGTATTTTACTGCTATAAAATGTGTGGCTGATCATTGTTTGCCCCAGGCCTGGGAGTCACTTCAGGCGCATCTGCTTATGTGCCCCAAATCTCAGAAGAATGGAGAAGTGATTGTGGAGTGACCATCCCTCCTGGGGGTTGATTTCTCACTTTCCTGTTGTCTGTTTCTGGCAAGAGTACACACCCCGTGGCAGAAGCCTAAAAATAAAAAGGGAGTGGAGGGAGGACAGGAGTGAAAGCTAGGGTGGAGAGTGGATATGTCAGAGTGATGGTTTCCTTTACCACTAGTAGCTGCCTGGAGCATAATTTCCTCTTCAAAGCCTTGCTAAGAGCAGCTGGGGACAATGAACAGTGATTAAAGATGCTTTGTTTTACACACAGCAAAAAGGATCATTAACACCTCAATTGGGTTTTTACCAAGCCCAAGGAAGGGCTCCTGCTGCTGTTGATAATCACAGTAACCCTCAGGGTTGCAGGGCCATGGGCTGGGTAATTCACCAGAAATTGGTACTCAGGATCTGCTGTTCCTCTCCATTCACGTACTTAAGAGGGACTAGGAAAAAACAAACGAAACTCCAGTTCTTGCCGGAACTCTCTGGGGAGCACAGACATTTCGTAGGGAGGAAGGGTATGTTGCAGAAAAACTCCTTTATTACCATTACCCTGTTACAATTTTCCTACTCTAGAGTTAGTGTTAATGTCACAACTGATTCTTACAGGGGCAAAAGGCTTATGAGTCCAAGAGACAACTTATTAAAAACGTGATACGGGAGGAGTAGTATGATTTTATCGAGGGAGAAATAAAGCAAGAAGCTGTGACTTGGACAATACAGTTAGTCTGGGGCATAACTTGTCATATCAGGGGAAACCCCAGTAGGAATGAGGAACAATGGCGGTTGTGACCTTATTCCTGTCATCATGTTTCACATTGTTCACAAATTTTTGTAGAAGTCTCTATAATGACAGCCTGGGAGTCATTCCCATTTGTTCAGTCCCTGAGGACAGAGAAAATCAATTGCTTTCTTGTAGTTCAATTAGGCAAATCTGCAAGGAAGGCATTGAACTTAGTTCAAAAAGGTTTTTAAAAAATCTACACTGCTCCTTTTAAAAAAATGCTTGGATAGACAGAGCAAGAAGTCAGGGCCCCAGATTTCTTAAACTAATGCTTCATGACGTCCCTGCTCTCCACCTCAAAGTAACTGCCAGGAAACTGCTGGTGAATAGTCAAAGGGGTGAAGAGAAGTCATTGGTGGGGTCTGCCATTCCCATAATCCATTCGATCACACTCTCCATAAGCTTAAAAATAACAGACCACTGGGGTCAGCATGCTGCATGGTGGTTAAGGTACTGGACTCCCACATGGTCAACTGTGGTTTGAGTCCTGGACCTGGTGGCTTGAATATCACACTAGGTACATGTGCATGCATGCCCAAAATCCCAGGAGAATGGAGGAGAAGGGATTGCAACTAGTCATCCCGGCTGGGGACTGATTTCTCACTTTCTCTCTCCAGTGAGTGCATATGCCCTATGGCAAAAACCTGCCAAAAAAGAGAGAGGGAGAGAGAGAGAAAGAAAGAAAAAGAAAAAAAACACACACTGAAGGCTTATTTTAAATTACATAGGCCCCCAAAATAGAAGTTATTTATTTTTAGTATTAATAAGAAATTAACAATAATTCTCTTTATACTGACTTATCCATATTCAAACTCACCTGCTCAGAAAGTTGCAAATGCATACAGTTTCTAATGACTCCTATTAACTATTAAGAAAGAACTTATGACAAAAAAATTATGTGCATAGGAAAAATCAAAGAGTAGAAAAATGCCAATCAGAGATATCCAGAGAGAAAAGAAGTCCTCCTGTGACTGAATTACTATTTCCTGTCAGTGGTTCAGGAATAAGATTCTTCTTTTGGGAGCTGAGAAATAATGACGAGAAAACTTTTGGTACTGGACATCTGAGTTCTTTGCTGTGCCATTTTTGGCTCTAGGCTAATACAATCAGCTAGAGAAAGAGGCCAGAGGAGGAAGAAATTCTCAACCTCTGGTCCATCTTTGGCCTCACGGTTCGGACTGAGGACTGTGTTTAAATACACTGGAGGTCTGACCTTGAATGATAGCAGGACAATTTGGAAAACCAATCACTTAGTAACAGTCCTGTAGTGACTAGCCCGGTCAGTTCCTTCTGAGGGTCCTTGTACTAGAGCCCTTTGGAAGAATGCGCACCATATGTGGGAGACTGATATTAGATTTACGTGCTTAACAGTAATAACCCACGAGGATGGAGGTTATTAACACTGTCCTTCAGATAGTCAATGTGGCTCTACCTGTAGGGGCAGCAAGGCTGAGTAATCCCTAATAATTTCAGATTAGGCAGAATCCTGACTCATAACTCACAGTAGAAGATACAGGTTCTACTATATAAAATCTTAACAGCATGGATCCAAGAGGCTGGGGCGTTATAAAGAATGGCAGAACACATGGTCTTCAAAGATCTGTTTCTCTCTTGCTGGGAAGCTCTTGTCACAAATTGGACAATTCAGACAAAGGGTCTGCTGTTCCAAGACATGCTCACAAACATCATCGGCACAATCTGACAGACAGTTGGGGCATTTCTTGAAGGGCAGCTGGGAGGAAAAGTAAAAAGGTCAGTACAAATGGAAGTGCTATGTGGCAGGAGCCAGGTCTACCTTGTCTTCCACTCAACTCTCGGGACCTGGCATAGTGGTAGATGCTCAAGAAATAGTGGCTCAATGAGCAGGTTCATATGTGGAGACACTCACTGGGGCTTTCTCTAATCCTAGGATTAAAAGGGCGTAATAATGCTGCAGTCAAGGTGGCATCTGGTCTGGAAGGGGCAGTGCAGTCCAGCACTTGGGTGGCAGCTGAGTAGCTCAGGCTTCTCCCTAGTCATGCTACCTCGTGCAGCTCCCAGGTGGAGATCCTGAACAGAACCTGAGCAGAATGCTGCTGCCGGGCGAGCTGTGCTTGCCTCTCCCCACCTCAACAGGCTGGCTCAGCCTCGGGCCCTTAACAAATGCATCTGGCTGAACCCTGAAGTTATCAAAATGAGCCAGCATCCCTATAGTTCTCCAAAGAACTGGGGTAGGAAGGGAATTTTTGGCAAAGATTTGATATGGACTGTCTCATGGATAAAACTTACCAGACTTGGAGCAGAACTTTCTTGGACACCTGAGGGGAATTAAAAAAAAAAATCATTCAATTAAAAGGTATCATCCCTAGGAGATCTTCCAAATGTGTTCTAACAGATATTTTCTGTAATCTTCATTGTTCCCTTTCTCCCCAGGGCCTTAGGTCCTTTCTCTCTTGCATCCATTATTTACTCCCAATGGAAGGAATTCTAGGACCATGATAAAGCAAGAGAGGAAAAAATAATGTGTTTCCAATAAACCTGTGTATATGTTATATAATCAGCAAAAATCAACAGACCTACTTTCAGAGTGGAGAAAATACATTTTTTAATAAAAATAGTAACAATTTAATAAGAACACAGCTTGAGAATAGATTTTAAGACTGCATCCAGCCAAACAGCTATTTCTCAAATTAATGGCTTAAAAATATTTTTAAAGAACAAATAAATTTGTTCCCCTCCCTGTTGCAAAAATCTGGTTGTGACTTTTAGGATTACACTGCTGCTTTAAATTGTCCAAATCAGCAAGTGGGGTTTCAAATTACTTCTGGAGATGAGAGAAAAGCTCCCTATTTGGCAAGGACATGCGACCAAGTCCTTGAGTGACAAGGTTGTTTTATACCCTACTTCCTGCTCCCTTAGCTGGAGTCTTGGTGGAGCACGCTCCTGTTCCATGGCCAGACCATCGGGGTGGATGCCGAACCGCAGCATAACGGCCTCTTGTGCTTCCATTTCCAAACCTTAATTAGTGTCCGTAGCTTTGTATGTGTATATCTTCTACATAAAGACATTCCTCTGATTTATACATTTGGAATATAGCCACGGGACTCAATTTGTGTCTGCTGCCTCTAAGCAAAAGATCTGATTTGCGTCTTCTGGATTCAGATTTATTTCTCAATTAACACTTCTTGCCTGGCAATCTTTCTGTTGGGTCCTCAGCTTCTGCCCAGCAAGTCTTAACAATGAGGCTGGTCTTAATTAGCATCTCAGACAAAAAAAAATTTAGTAGGGAAAAGGGATGCAGGCAGGGGCCTTCCAGCTAGAGTGGCAGAGCTGTCTTACCAGAATACGGGTTGCCATAAACAAGTCCTGGGTTTTGTCCTGCAGCTCCTTGATTTGAAGTGGTGTACGGCAAAGAGTCAGGATCCAAACCCATGTAACTCAGCAATCTGCTGTTTTCCTTCTTCAAAAGCTAAGGACAGAGTATTTATGAACATACTGAAAGGTAACAGTATAGAAAGCCCACCAGGAGCTGACTAAAAGAATCCATTACTGGCAGTTCTCAACTAACGATGTGACACTGAAGAACTCTAATAAGTGAGAACCCATAATCTTCAAAAGGGGAAGCAAAACCCTCAATATTTCATACATCTGAGTTCTTCATATCTGAATTTTAAAATATGTTTACTAAATTTTGTTTATATTAACATAACAAAGAGCCTTGGGGCTGGTGTGTCGTGGTAGTTAAGAGCTCTGGACTCCCACATCACCGACCGCGGTTTGGGTCTTAGACCTGGCAGCTTGCTTTCTCATTTTCTCTCTCTCGCTCACTCTCCCTCTCTGGTCAAATTAAAATAAATAAACAAATAAATAAATACATAAATCATACATATATGTGTGTGTGAGGCTGGTCTTAATTAGCATCTCAGACAAAAAAAAATTTAGTAGGGAAAAGGGATGCAGGCAGGGGCCTTCCAGCTAGAGTGGCAGAGCTGTCTTACCAGAATACGGGTTGCCATAAACAAGTCCTGGGTTTTGTCCTGCAGCTCCTTGATTTGAAGTGGTGTACGGCAAAGAGTCAGGATCCAAACCCATGTAACTCAGCAATCTGCTGTTTTCCTTCTTCAAAAGCTAAGGACAGAGTATTTATGAACATACTGAAAGGTAACAGTATAGAAAGCCCACCAGGAGCTGACTAAAAGAATCCATTACTGGCAGTTCTCAACTAACGATGTGACACTGAAGAACTCTAATAAGTGAGAACCCATAATCTTCAAAAGGGGAAGCAAAACCCTCAATATTTCATACATCTGAGTTCTTCATATCTGAATTTTAAAATATGTTTACTAAATTTTGTTTATATTAACATAACAAAGAGCCTTGGGGCTGGTGTGTCGTGGTAGTTAAGAGCTCTGGACTCCCACATCACCGACCGCGGTTTGGGTCTTAGACCTGGCAGCTTGCTTTCTCATTTTCTCTCTCTCGCTCACTCTCCCTCTCTGGTCAAATTAAAATAAATAAACAAATAAATAAATACATAAATCATACATATATGTGTGTGTGTGTGTGTGTGTGTGTGTGTATGACAGAGTCTTAAATCTCTGAATACATACCAACTGAAGGAGGTTACAAAAGTTGTATGAATATAGGAGGATAGGCAAGAGTTATGTTAAGATTGAAACATGGGCTGGGGGCTGGCTAGCAGATGGCATGGTGGTTAATGCTCTGGACTCCCACACGGCTGATCACAGTTCAAGTCCTGGATCTGGCAGCTTGCTTTCTCACTTTTCTCTTCTCTCTGTGTCTTTGTCTGATAAAATTTAAAAATAAGAAAATAATAATAGTAATGATGATAATAAATAAAATTAAATAAACGATGAGTCCTGGACCCGGTGGCTCAAACTCATGCTGGGCGCGTGTGCGTGCGTGCCCAAGATCCCGAGAGGAGAAAGAAGAAGGGATAGTGGCATGGCCATCCCCCCTGGGGAGTGATTTCTCGCTGTCTCTCTGTCTCTGTCTGTCTTTCTGGTGAGCACACGCACCCTATAGCAAAGACCTCCCCAAAAAATAATAGTAATAATAATAATGTGTCTAGCAGATGGCATGGTGGGTAAGGGAACTGGAATCCCACATAGCTGTCCACGATTTGAGTCCTGGACTTGGCAACTTACTTTCTCACTTTTCATCTCTTTCTTTCTCCCTATCTGGTAAAATAAAAATAAATAAATAAATAAATACACAAATAAAATAAATACAATTGAAATAAGTTAATTATTTAAAAAAATAAAAAGATTGAAACATGGGCTGGTCCCAGGACCTACTATTGGCTGAGGAAGCTGTATCCTACATGGCCTACCATGGCTCAAATCCCAGTCCTGGAGGCTTGAAAAACACATAGACCACATATGCATGCATGCCCCAGGTCTGACAGAATAGAGAAATGGAGGAGAAGGGACTGAAGGGTAACCATGCCCTACTGTGGAGTGATTTTTCGCTTTCCCTCTCTCTGCCTCTCTCTGGTGAGCACACATACCCTCTAGCAATTAAAAAAATAAAAAACCTGAGGAACCAGCAGATGGCATAATAGTTACATTGCTGGACTCCCACACTGTCAAGTGCAGTTCAGACCCTGTGGCTTAAAACTCATGCTGGGCATACGTGTGTGCACACCCAAAATCCCAAGAGGAAAATGGAGAAGGGATTGTGGTGTGGCTGTTGTCCCCTCGGGGGGGGGTGGGGTGTGATTTCTCGTTTTCTATCTCTCTGGTGAGAGCATACACCCTAGAGCAAAAATCTCTCTCAAAAACAAACCTGAAACTGTTGTATATTACTGAATGCAACAAAATTTCACAATAAGTATTCATCTGATATAATTTTCCCATCTTTTCTATTTTATCCCATCAAATGGATACACCAACAGAGAGAGTGAGAGGAAGGAAGGTGGGAAGAAGGCAGTGAGAAAGAAAAACGCGAGATATACATGGTATAGACAGCATTTAAAGTTCTTAGAAAAACAAAAATTAGTAAACCACCCTTTAATATCTTAAGAGGGCTTTACCACAGTTCTTAACAAAGCTTCCAAATACCACAGCTTTTCCTTGGTGGTGCAAACTGTGTATGTGCCCTTCTCTCTCACCATCAGACTAAACCAGGAGAATAGGAATTCCAAACCCAAGGTATACTTTCAAACTGAAGGCTAGATTAATAAACTTAAAAAAATGAGATGGGGGCGTGGTAGCGCCTGCCCTATGGCAAAAAATGAGATGGTAAATTTATGTTGTACGTATCTGTGTGTGTGTTTGTTTATTTAGTCCATGAGTGAGGGAAACAGAAAGAGAGAGAGAGACTGCACCTCACTGGGATCTTAGTGCTGGGATCCACCTCCAGCCCCTGCCGGCCTGGGTTGGGGCATATATGCAGCTGGCAAAATCAGGGAAGTCTCTGAACTGAACTAGGAACCCTCGCACATAAGACTGCCTTGT